CATCCCAAAACCAGTCCAGCTCGTCCCTGCCTCCCTAACCTGTTCTTCCTCCCACCTATCCCCTCCTCCCACCTCAAGCCGCACCTCCATCTCCTACCGACCAACCTCATCCCGCCCCCTTGACCTGTCCGTCCTCCCTGGACTGACCTATCCCCTTCCTAACTCCCCACCTACACTCACCTTTACTGGCTCCATCCCCGCCTCTTCGACCTGTTTGTTTCCTCTCCACCTATCCTCTCCTCTATCCATCTTCTATCCGCCTCCCACTCTCTCCCTATTTATTTCAGAACCCCTTTCCCCTCCCCCTTTTCTGATGAAGGGTCTAGGCCCGAAACGTCAGCCTCTCTGCTCCTATGATGCTGCTTGGCCTGCTGTGTTCATCCAGCCCTGCACCTTGTTGTCTCTTTGATCAGATTACTGAACTCCTTCACTTCTAAAACACAAATTCAGATAAATATTTCGAATTAATTTGGCAGCCTTTGACGAACAGAATCACTTTAAACTCACCACAATGGACTGCTACAGTTAGCAAAGAGGGGCTTTCACAACAATATTTACCATAGGAATTAAACGAGAAAGGACAGAATTCGGCTTCTGTAGTATTGAGTAATAACAGAATCATGGAATCCCCAGAGTGTGGAAACAGGCCATTCAGCCCAACAAGTCCACACCGAATGTCCGATGAGCATCCCATCCAGACCCATCCCCCTCTACCCTATAACCCTGGATTTCCCACTGCTAATCCACCTAATTTATACATCCCTAGACACTATGGGCAATTTAGCATGGCCAATCCACCTGACCTGCACATCTTTGGACAATGGGAGGAAACCAGAGCACCTGGAGGAAACCCACACAGACATGGGAAGAAAGTGCAAATTCCACACAGATAGTCGGCCGAAGCTAGAACTGAATCCGGGGCCCTGGTGCTGTGAAGCAACAGCGCTAACCACTGAGCCACCATGCCGCCCCACGATGCAGCACGTTGTTCTCAATATTGAGATTAGTCTTTGAATCCCTACATTGCAGAAAAGGCCATTTGGCCCATTGAGTCTGCACCGACCCTCCAAAGAGCATCACACCCACATTCAATTCCTCGTAACTCCACATTTCCCATGGCAAATCCACCTAGCCTGCACATGCCTGGACGCTATGTGGCAATTTAGCATGGCCGATCTGCCTAACTTGCACAACTTCAGATTGTAGGAGGAAACCAGAGCGCCCAGAGGAAACCTACACAGACACAGGGAGAACGTGCAAACTCCACACAGACAGTCATCTAAGGTGGAACTGAACCCAAGTCCCTGGAGCTGTGAGGCAGCAGGGCTAACCACTCTGCTACCATGCCATCCTAAATCTCCCCTTCCCTATCTGTCACATTTAAATAGCACTACTCCCCCAGAAAGAAAGAATATTTTCTTGGCATTTAATGAGTAATTTATCAGAAATTAAAATGAAGTCTTACGATGGCAAATATTAAGTGAAATTTATACTCACCAATCCCTGGTTATTGTCACTGAAATGCATGAACAGACCATTGCTATGATCAAAGAGTGCTTTACACATCAACTCAAACCACTCCCTGCGTGGGCCACCCCAGTCCAATGCTGAAACAATATACAAATACATCCTTAGATGCCTCCAATATTATCCTCCTGAGGTAAAGTTATTTACCTTTATTATGACATTGACATTTCTTCAAGAGATATAGTGTCAATATTAGGAAATTGATCTTCACACAAAGAATGATCAACATACAAAAGAGTAGACAGGGTGAAAAATCACAAAATCGTAAAGATACAATTATTGCAATGGGGGCTAGTTGAGGTTCATTCTGGAGTAGTAAGTTAATGAACTGATTGGCATCCCTCAGAGGCAATTATCATGTGATCTTGCATCAAAATGCTTTGGATATTGATTAAACAGGAAAATACAATTGGGGCAAATTCAAGTTGAATTAAGTCAGCTGTGTAGACCAATACCGAATAAAAAGACGTGGCTACAAAAGCAAGTTTTAGCAGATACACAATTAAACAAGCCACACGAACCCAGACCTCGATTCCCTTCTGTTCTTCCATGCACACTCTCTCCCCCACCCCCATCGGACTTCAGTAAATTACAGTTTTTACCTTTTCCCAGTTCTATTGGAAGGTCACTTCTTTGACATGTTAATCCTGTTCTCACTCTCCAGAAATGCAGTTTGAACTGCTAAGTATTTCCAGCGTATTGTGTTTATATTTCAGATTTCCAGCATGTACTGTATTTTGCTTTAGTGTAGGTAAGTAGTGAGTCAGCTGGCCTACTCTTGTGCTATTTGTACCCAATATTTATACAGCAGCATTTGTGTAGATACGGAAGCAGGTTTCTCAAGGCTGGAGATTGTGCATACAGGATACAGGAAACAGAAGAGTACGGGAACTAACATTCATTTTCACCAATATAGCAATTCATGGCCTTAATGTTTTTCTTATTGCAATGCCACTAATTTGTGCCATTTGGGGCTATGGGTTAAATCCTGAGAGAGGCAGTCAACAAAGATAAATCTCTCAAGGCATCTAGTTTCTGAGAAACCCTAAGTTATCCAAAAGAAACCGAGTAAAATCTCAGTCATATCAATATATCATCGCAGCCTACATTTGTCAAACTTAAAACAATTAGATTTTACAGCAAGTAGGATTTGCCCCGTTAAAGCATACAGCGCCCTTGGAAGGTGTTGACAATTCTTTAGCACTGACCTTCTTCATCCTGAAAAATCACCTCAAAATTCTTGCTCCAATCAGAGACTGAGAAGTTTCTTGTGGCTTTCAGGGACTATTAGGATGCAGAAATTAAACAAAAAAGGCAAACAGAATTTTAATTACAATTACTCTTGAATTAAAACAAATCAAGATACATGCTGGACTGGATTCTTAAAATTACAATGCTCACTTGACTGATGAACGCCTGAAGTTACACATTAACAGAACTCTAAGGTGGGAAACAAAACTAAATGGCCCAAGTTAAAGAGCACTTTATTTCTGGAGACTACTGTTTTAATAATAGACCATTAATTATCAGAAGAGGTAGACAGGCAATAACCCAGGGAGCACGTTAAACTCACCGACTCAAGGAAACTGTGACGGCTGACTTTAAGTACAATCTTTGTATGTGATCGTTTCATGTGCATTTGACGAAGTTCTCGCTGAAAGAAATTCACTTTGTCTTGGAAAGTTTCAGAACCACCTGTGAAGTGATATGGTAACAATCCACAAGATCATATTTGTTCCTACAGTGGACTAAGCTGATCAATCACAAACAATAAAGCTGAGAATAAATTGCTGCGATTATCCCAAAAAGGATACATAACATGTACTAAAATTCCTGAGGTAGACAGCTGAGCCTCCGTTTAATGTTTCATCTAAAAAACATCTCTGACAATAAAACATGACTCTTTATGATGCCTAAAGTACCGATTTGGATTATGTGTTCAACTCCTGCAGTTAGAACAATTTAAAATAACAGTACATGGCAGGTAATAACTCCTAATGGCCAAGTTGCAACATATGACAACCGCACATAAAGGATCATGATAGCTGACTGTATTAGAATCTCGAATGTCTGAAGCAACTCCACATAAGATACTTGACACCAAGGATATTTATAAAAGGAGAGTGAGAGAGAACTGCAATGATAGAAGACAGCTGAACACAAAGGAACATGAGAAATAAACTGCAGATTGATTTCAATAAAACCAAACTTATCTTTATATTTCAAACAAACATACAAGATCTCCTTTCCTTAAATAGGTCTCATGCCCAATTTTATTTTGCAGTCCTGAGGCAATGGGACAAACATAACTCGATTCAGCCACATGAAGATTCAAAATGACTTGGATGCCAATATTTTTTCCCCTTTGCATCCTAATAAACTGCCTGGGCACCATTTGGCATCTCCTCAAAACTCCTTTCCTGCCTGACGCGATTTGCCGCATGAGAAATCAGGATCAGAATGCTCATCCAAGTAGTGCTTGGCAGGGTTCTGATAACTATGTTTGCTCTTTAGCTGTCCAGTTAAAACTATTTCCCCAAGAGTTAACAGCAATCTTTTTTCTCTCTCATGTACAACATTTACATATCAGACAAGTACAGTTGTTGAAGCTTTAGTCCTTACCAATGTTCTTATGTAAGAAACGAATGAATGTTGCTGCCATGATGTTCCTTTCTTTGCAACTGAGTTCCAGAGGAGGTTGTATCCCATCATCCACCACTAACGTGAGGAACTTATGCACTGGATCCAGACTGTGGTAGTAAAACTGAAGATAAAAAGACATAATTTTTTTTTCCCTTCACCGCTCTGAACTCTATTGAGACTATCAATGCCTGTAGAGACTCTACACTCAGTCCTACTTAAGCAAGCTGACAAGAAAATACACTGCACGCTCTCATGGAGGATCACTGACTATCAAAGCAGTCAATCTTCATTAGTGTCTAGACAGTGGCAGACTGTTTAAGCTGGAGTGAAAGGTATGGAGAATCAGAATTGAATTGGCTCCATCTTTACTGGGTGCCTACATACTGTAGCAAGCCAACAAAAGCATTCTGGACTGTGATTAGGACCAATAATGCTAGTTAATTCTTCCTGTAGGTCTGTAGCAGAGATTAATTGTAGAACTTTCCTGTAGCTTTAGCTGAGATTAGTTAACTCTTAGTAATTAAACATCAGATAGTTCTTGTCAATAGAAATCTACAATACACATGGTATATTTAGGGAGGTTATGTTACAGCTGTATAGGGTGCTGGTGAGGCCACACTTGGATTACGGTGTGCAGTTTTGGTCTCCTTACATGAGAAAGGATGTACTGGTGCTGGAGGTGGTGCAGAGGAGGTTCACTAGGTTGATGCTGGGGTTGAGAAGTTTGGCTTATGAGGAAAGATTGAGTACACTGGGATTATATTCATTGCAATTTAGAAGAATGAGGGGGGATCTTATAGAAACATATCAAGTCTCTTGATAATTTTAGAAGATAAAAGCAGGGAGTATGTTTCCACTGACAGGTGAAACTAGAACAAAACAGCACAGCCTCAAAATTAGGAGGAGATTTAGAATTGAATTGAGGAGGAACTTTTTCACCCAAAGGGTTGTGAAACTGTGGAATTCCTTGCCCACTGAAGTAGTTGAGGCTTCCTTATTGAACGTTTTTAAAGCTAAGGCAGATAATTTTTTAAACAATAAAGGAAGTAAGGGTTACGGTGAGAGGGTGGGTAAGTGAAGCTGAGGCCACGAAAAGATCAGCCATGATCTTATCGAATGGCGGAACGGGTTCGAAGGGCCAGATGGCCTACTCCTGCTCCTGGTTCTTATGTTCTTAGCCCACTGTTTTCTCTTGGCCCTACTGCAGAGTAGCTAAACATCTATTGAACCTTGTTTCCTGCCCACCAGAAACTCAAACTGGCATAAAAGACCTACCTTGGTTCCTGGACACACTCTGCAAGTAAAAAGTCTCCAGGGGATGATTTTCAGGTAAAACTCCTTCACTGAGAATTGCTGGAAAACAAATGTTCTTCTTACTGTTCAGTTTACATCAGCTGCTGAGCATATTAATTTTAATTGCTTTCAGTTTTAACTTTAACTGTTGCATTCATGGGTGAAGGATAAGAATACTACAAGCTCCCAAATAATGCCTTTCGGCCTTCAGTGGCATTGCTCAGCTCAATGGAAATGTACAGGAGAGGGAAAACAGGCTGTGAAATAAGGGGTGACAGCAATTAAAGGTGACGAGAGAAAAATAAAATCAAATGGCCGGGTTCCAGCTCCTGACTGTTGTGTATCACCCCTCATGGATGCATGCACATAAAGGTACAAAGTGAAGATGCATTCGTATTAAGCCTCAAGGGCCTTGACAGTAAGATAGGAACAAGAGGCTAATGACAAACAGCTAGTAGGAGAAGTCACTAGATGACAGTTAACATCAATGTAACTACTTCCTAACAAGGGACCAAATGTTTTCAAGAGAGGAAAGAGAGAAAACTGTCAAAAAATAATTTCAAAAAAGAATTCTGCTCAGCTTTTCAAATGAACAAGTGTGCCTTGATTGAAGATGGGTCTTATACATACATTTTTTTGAATCTGAACAGCTGAAGGAAAATCAACAATGCAGAAATCCTGATCTTCTTTACACCACTGGAGCACAATCCAGCTAATGACTTCTAGGAAAGCCACATATTAAGCACACACATTAGGAGATTTCGACAACGCTGAATATTGAGTTTCAGTGTGTATAACTGAAGCATAACTTCCTTCTTTTTAATTTGCAGTTCCTCATGTAATAAAGGACACCATCTCATTAGATTTCTTGATTGTTATAAATGTAATATTTCCAAATTTGCAGATGATACAAAGCTAAACCAGAATTTTTATTCTGAGAAAGATGCAAGACATTTTCAGGAGGATTTGGATAGATTTTGAGATTGGGTAAGAACCTGGAAGATGGAATAGAAGTGTGGAACAATGTGAAGTTATGCACTTTGGCAGGAAGAACAAATGTGCAGAATATTTCTTAAATGGTCAGTGGTTAGAAAGTGTAGATGAGTAAAGCAACTTGGGTGTTTTTGTCAACAAGTCACTGAAGGCTCACATGTAGCAAGTTATTAAGAAGTCCAATGGAATATTAGCCTTTACCATTAAAGAATTTGAGTACAGGAATCGTGAATTCTTGCTTCAATTGTATAGGAGCTTGGTTAGTGTGCCCCTGGAGTACTGTGTGCAGTTTTGGTCTCCTTATCTCAGAAAAGATATTACTGCCATAGAGGGAGTCCCACGAAGATTCACCTGTTGTTCCTGGGATGACAGGACTGTCCTGAGAGGCGGTAGGCAAACTGGGCCTGTAATCTCTAGAATTCTGAAGAATAAGAGATGATCTTATTGAAACCTACAAACTACTGAACGGTATAGACAGGGTAGATGCAGGTAAGATGTTTCCCACAACTGTGGAGTCTATATCCTGGAGGCACAAGTTAAAATTAAGGAGGATGCTTCTTAGGTCTGAGATTAGGAGAATTTCTTTTACTCGGCAAGTGATGAATCTTTGGAATTCCCTACCCCACAGGAAGCTGTGGAAATTCAGTCTTTGAGTACATTTAAAGCAGGGTCAGATAAACTTTTGATCAATGACATAAAAGGGTCATGGGCATAGTGTGAGGAAAAACCACTGAAGTGTTCGATCAGCCACGATCATATTAAATGGCAGAGCAGACATAATGGGCTGACCGATCTACTCCTATTAGTATGTGCCCACATACTAATTTTTGTGACTTGGACTAGATGACCTAAACCCCTCTGTACTCATTCTCCATTTATGTAATGGCCTGGTTTTTCATTCTTCCTGCCAAAGTGAACAACTTCATATTTTGTTACATTATACTCCATCTGGCAGATCTGTGCCCACTCAACCTCTCTATCCCTCGACAACCTCCCCAGCTTCTTGCTTACCTACCTTGATGTTATCTGTGAAATTGGCTACCATGCTGTCATTCTCCTAATCTAAGTTATTGATGTAATTTGCAACAAGCTAAGGGTTCAACACACAGCCCTGCAGGACTCTGCTCAGAGCACCCTACCAATCAGGCAAAAGACCCATTTATACATACTCAGTTTACTGCCAGGCAGCCAGCCAATCTCCTATCCATGCTAATATTTCATTCCCCACACCATGAGATTTTATTTTCCACAATTACCTGTAAAACAGTGACTTATCAAATATCTCCAGGAAATCCAAGTACAGTACTTCTACAGGTTCCTTTTTATTCACATTACTCCTTCAAAGATATTCAATAAATTGGTTAAACATGAGCCTGTAGACCATTCCCAATAATGACTTCCTTCCCATGCTATTCCTCATTTCCATCCTGATCTCCTGAACCAAGGTCATCTCTAACTGTTGCACAAAGGTGGTATTTGATATGCACCCATCTTTATCTAGCTTCCCATATTTCTTGAATGTCGTATACCTCTCAATATTTAGGACACAAATCTTCATCATCCTGGATCCATATCTCCATTACAGCAATCGGATTCTTTTTGTTTTCAATATGTGCTATCAATTTGTTCACTTTGTTATGCTACAGGCATTCAGATTCTGCATAGTTTAGCCTTCAGATTTGTCTTTTAGTTATATTTGTAAAATCTTGATTGTTAAGTCTATTTCTATTGTTTTTCTCTCTGCTCCTTCCTGTCATTCTTTGACCCACATTTCCTGTGTTACTATTTTCCTCTTTTCCCTTGTCTCCACTCTTTGATACTTTACAACTTTCCACATTTCATCCCTTGCCCCCACTACTTAGTTCAAAACCCTTCCTACTTATCTACTTTTGCAGTTCACAAGAATACTAGCCCCAACATACTTGGGTGTAAACCATCCCAACGGTACAGCCCCCAGTTTCCCAGTACTGGGGCTAGTGAGCCCATGAACCAGAACCCGTTTCTTCCATACCATCTTTGAGCTATGTATTTATCACTCTAATTTTATGCACCCTTTTCCAATTTGCACACCAATAATCCACAGATTATAGCCTTGGAGGCTCTGCTTTTTAAATTAGTGCACGGCTCAATTTCTAGGGCGGTACAGTGGCTCAGTGGTTAGCACTGCTGCCTCACAAAGCCAGGGACCTGGGTTCGATTCCGCCATCAGATGACGGTCTGTGTGGAGTTTACACGTTCTCCCCAAGCCTATGCGGGTTTCCTCTTGGTGCTCCAGTTTCCTCCCACAGTCCAAAGATGACCATGCTAAATTGCCTATATGGCATTCAGGGACGTGCAGACCACGTGGGTTAGCCATGGGAAAATGCAGGATTACAAGGATAGGGTAGGGGTGTGGGTCTGGGTGGGATGCTTTTTGCAGGGGCAGTGTTGACTTGATAGGCTGAAAGGCCTGCTTCCACACTACAGGGATTCTATGATTCCGTGCATAACCCCCTTCCTAGCCTGCCTATGACGTTGGTTCATCATGGACTATGGCTAACTTGACCCACCTCTTTTCACTGTAATCTCCTTTCTGTAGGCCAGCATGCTTGACGTCTATCATTGGAAAGTTTTAGAATCAAATCATTGATATTATAGTTGGGCACGTATTGCTGGGAAATTATATTTAACCAATTTATTGGAGCTCTTTGAGAAGTAAAATGTGCTGTAGACAAAGGGAAATGTAGTTGTTCAGTGCTTTAATTTCCAGAAGTCATTTGATAAGGTGCCACACAAAAGGTAATCATGCAAAGTAGGAGCTGAAGTACAGGGGCTGACATATTAGTATGAATTGAAGATTGGTTGCCTACTAAAAAAATAGAGCCATAAATGGAGCTTTTTCTGATTGGCAGGATGTGGGGAGCAAAGTCCCATAGGAGATATGGTGAGCAGAGTCCCACAGGAGTTTTAGCTCAGGCCTCAGCTTTTGAACAATTAACATTAATCACTTAGAAATAGATCCTTCGGCCCAACTCATGCAAGCCAACCAGGTTTCCCAAACTGAACTAGTCCCACTTGCCTGTATTTGACCCATATCCCTCTAAACCTTTCCTACCCCCCGTGTCCAAACATCTTTTAAATGTTTTAATTGTATCCGCCCGTACCACTTCCTCTGGTGGAGTGAAGACAAGGTCCCAGATTGGCGGATGACACAAACAGAGTGAGGAAAGAATGTTGCAGAGCGGACACAAAGGAGTTGTGAATGGATATGGACTGGGTTCAAGTCCCACCTGTTTCAGGGGCGTATCATAACATCCCTGAATAGGTTGATTAAAAATAACTTCAAGTAGGTTGAGCAAGGGGCAAAAATCTGGCAGATGGAGTATAATGTGGGAAAATGCAAAGTTGTTCATTTTGGCAGGAAGAATAATAAAACAGAATATTACTTAAAGTGAAAATGAGTGTAAAATTCCAAAGTGCAGCAGGATCTGGGTGTTTTAGTACATGAGTCACAGAATGTCAGGATACAAGTGCAACAAAAAATTAAAAAGGCTAATGGGATGCCATCCTTTGTTACGAGAAAAATTGAGCCAAAAAGTATGGGTGTTATATTTCAATTACATAGGGCATTGATGACAGAGCATCCTGAATACTCATGCAGTTTTGATATTCTTCTTGAAAGGAGGGTGTAAATGCTTTGGAGGCGATTCAGAGGAAGTTTACTAGATTGATACTTGGGATGAGTGGGATATCTTATATGGAAATATTAGACAGTTTGGGCTTGCTTCTAAATGAAAACTGAAAGAACTGCAGATGCTGTAACTGCAGAAACAAAAACAGAAGTTGCTGGAAAAGCTCAGCAGGTCTGGCAGCATCTGTGCAGAGAAATCAGAGTTAATGTTTCAGGTCCGGTGACCCTTCCTCAGAACTCAGTTAATTCTGATTTCTTTCCATAGATACTGCCAGACCTGCTGAGCTTTTCCAGCAATCTCTATTTGTGTGTTTCTGGACTTATTTCAAATGGATTTCGAAAGACTAAGGGATGACTTGATTGAAGCAGAAAAGATCCTAAACCTTCTTGACAAGGTAGATGCGGAAAGCGATGCTTCCTCTTGTGATTGAGTGAGCCCAAAATTAGAGGGCACCATTTAAAGATTAAGTGTCACATTAGTCATCCTTTAATATTTCCTTCACTCACAATCATGGAAGCAAACAGCATCCACTTACCATCATCGATTTACAGCACCCTAGGTGGGAAGGAAGCATCACCTTGTAGTATCATTGATTATGCTGTATCTTTCAGCACCATTCAACAATACATGTAATACATAAAACTTTTTTTCTAAAATGAGTATTCCCGTCTAGCTTAGAGTGTACTGACAGGAACCATTACGACTGAAAGCCTTGCATGGGCCACTGAGGTGGTAAAAAGAAGCGCACCCACCCTCCAGAGCTCACTGTGAGGCCACCAGAGAATTTTTTTTTTAAACATTCATTCATGGGGCACGGGTGTCACTAGCTAAGCCATCATTTATTACCAATTCTTAATTGCCCAGAGGGCAGTTAAGACTCAACCACAGTGCTGAGGTCCGGAGTCACATGAGGGTAGGACCAGGTAGGACAATAGTTTCCTTCCCTAAAAAAGAAATTAGAGAACTAAATGGTTTGCTGGTAGTCTACTCTCACTAGCAGTAGAGCAAAGGCAGGAAGGAATCACTAACAGGACAATTCAGTGGCTAAGCTGCGCTCTCTATAGGCAACACATCTCTCACTTTTCCTGCCACTGGCAGAATTGCACACTAACAGAAAAATGTTAGGCTTCCACTTTTGATGTCTTCCAATGCAATCTTGCCAGCCTTCCTTCCTTCCATCCCACACTAAAAGACTGGTAATACTTATCCTTTCAAGTTTTTACTGTAATATTAACTTTCAGGACATTATTTATAATGTCATAGGCCCTTTCTTACCTTTGGTGATATGTAACAATAGACCTTCTTGGGTTTTTTCACTTTCTCAGCTGTCTGATTTTCCTGATCCAAATCTTTCTCATCTTCTTCATCTGTATTGGTTGATGGGTGCCGACCCACGCTCAAAGGTGATATTGATGGTAACTGCCACTGAGAGTTTGCATAATTTGCTGTGCTATACAAGTACGCTTCAAAATAAACACTGGTTCCTGGAGTTGAAACGTTCTTTTCTACTGTGTTCTTCTCATTTTCTATTAAGGCAAATAGTAAATACACACAATTATTTCTACCATTCAGTCAGGAGCTCAGGTTGCTTTAGGTCAGTTTTAATCACATTTTATGTTAACCACTGCACTTCCAAGCACAGTCTCTCTCAGGGGAAACCTGCAACAAAGAATGATGTAACGCAAGTCTATTTATATGATTCCCCTGACAGTGAACTCCTGCATTCAATTCACAGTTATAGTAGCTGCTGGTTCCAATAGGAAGACGAACAAAATTACAACTTTATCTCAACACTGTTCCCTTCTCTTACAATCCAGACAGCATGCTGATTTTCAATAAGTATCAATGCCTGATACTGAAATGCTATTCTGACAGACTGGCCTGATGTGTAATTACAGCAACAATAAGCATTATGTAGCACTATTGTTAGAAACCTTGTTTTTTTTAAAAATCATTTTTGGTTGAAACTGTGAGCTAAGTGTTGAAGGTGATCTTTGGACTGTGGGCTGCAGTTTTTTTAAGAAAAGAACACAGAAACTGTTGTTTGTTTATAGGCCTGGAAATTAATTGCAGGTTCATTCTTACATAAAGAACACTGTGGACCTTTCAGCTCTGGAGATGCATTACACTCATGTGTTGGCAGATGTTCGGATCACAGTTCCATCACAGGGAGGCTCTTGCCAGACCCTCTAACAAAGAGAATGTTGGAAAAAAACAAATTTTGAAACTGTGCTTTTATCACAAAGATTGTGGCTATAAAAACTACAGAACTGAAATTTGATTGATCCCTGGTTATCCTCCCATTATCAACATATTGAAAATTCAGAGAATAGAACACCAGTTACAAGAATTAAGCGATTATTCCACAGATCCTACTAGAAGCTATTTGCATTAATGTGTATATTTAGAAATCAAGCAAGATACAATCCCATATGCCTACGATACTACACATTGCTGAAGTTGCTTAAATGAACTGGCCAGTTACATCTGTCATTTTTCTTCTAATTTATCCCTAAACTGTGTCTGTCTGTATGAGAGTGGGAAACTAGAATCAAAGAAAGTTGGGTTTAAATCATAAGCATCAATCAGTTTACCTTTGCTCAGCTAAAGCTATTGAATTAGAAATATATTGTTCACTGTTTTGTTTGAGCTGTAAACTTGGTGTCTGGTATTGGTTATTCAAAAAGTCTGATTAGAAACCATCGTGGCAATTTTGAGGGTTTACTTTTAAAGTGTCAATACAGGGATGGGGAGGCTAGTTTGATTTGATTGTCTGCCTCCGTGTTGTAACACAATGCCTTCAGGTTCTTTGCATTTACATGGTCAAAAAATACTGGATACCAAGCCACAAGAGGAGATAATAGGATGAACAGCTAGGTCACAGTGGGAGGAGCATTTTAAAAGCAAAAAAGAGAAGTTGAAGCAAAGATTTAGGAGAAAAATTCCAGAGATTAGGACCTTTGCAACTGAAGGAACATAGGAACAGGAACAAGCCACATGGCCCCTCAAGGCAATTCATCATTCAAATGAGATAATCGCTGATCTGTGACCTTAATCCCCTATAGCTTATCTTTGACCTATGCCACTTAAAATCCCTGTTTAACAAAAATCTGTCAACCTTAGATTTAAAATTAATTTGAGCATCTATTATCGAATGACTTTTATTCTACATTTCTACCATTCTTTGCAAGCATAAACGTACTCTAATTTCATTTCTCTAATTTTTAGACCATGCCCCCTCTTAGAGGCTGCCCATCAGCAGAAATACTTGTTCTCTCTCCCTTATATCTCAAATTTTGTTCAAAATGTTCTACAACCTTCTAGAATCTAAGAACACAATCCTAGTTTATACAATATTGACTTGAAATCTAACCATTGGAGTCCAGATGTCATTCAAATAAATCTACATAGCACTCCTTCCAAACTCAATTGGTACCAAGAACTGCTTACAATGGTCTTTCATAGCCTCTAGCTTGTATTTTAGTCCACTAGCTAAAAGACCAGCACTCCAATAAACTTACCAATTTGTTTCTGCATCTGCACATGATATTTTTATGATTGACCCACAAGGGCTCAAAGTCTGTTTGGTCTTCCTTACTTTTCATCATTTAGAAACACCTTGTTCTATCCTTTTTAGGTCCAAAGTGGATGACCTCATATTCACCAACACTGAAATCCATTTGCTGCAGTTTTGTGCAGTTATAGCGATCAATATTGCTTTGTAATTTTACAGTTTCATCCACACCATCTACAATACTGCCTATATTTGTGACATGTGGCTTTCTATCACATCACTCAAGTTATTATGTGGTGAATATTTAAGGCCCCAAAACAGATCCTTGAGGGATTTCATCCTGCCAATTAATGTTCCTGCTCATTATCTTTAGTTTCGACTTCATTCACTCAGCCATTTTATGAATACAGTGAATAAATTTATCTTCAGCTACATGAGTTTCAGTTTTATTTCAAAGCCTCCATGCCCTTAACCAAATGCCTTCTCAAAGCCTCTATAAAAAAAAATCTGTAGACCTGGGAATTCTTCATTAATTGAGGCACAGTTGCCAGTGTGAATAAATGTGAACCAATGTGATTAACATCTTGAATGGATGAGTTGCCTTGAAGAAAGGTCAGACACGGTAGGCTTGTAGTTGCTGGAGTTTAGAAGAGTAAGAAGGTATTTAATTGAAACAGAAGATGCAGAAAGGTCTGACAGGGTGCCTGTGGAAAGGCTATTTCTTCCTGTGGGAGAATATAGAATTAAGTTCACTGGTGCCAGTTAATATTCAGTTAAGACAGAGATAAGGAGATTCTTTTCCTAAGAAAGTCACATGTCTTTAGAACGCTCTCGCTCAAAAGACAGTGCAAGCTGTGCCCTTGAATATTTGTAAGGCACAAGTAGATAGATTCTTAATAAACAAGGGATGAAAAGTTAACCGAGGAATGTGAAGTAATCAGATCAGAAATGTTCTTATTGAATGGCAGAAAAGGTTCAAGTGATTTCCTCCTGCTACTAATTTGTAAGCATTTTTGATGAGATATAGGAGGGCGGCCTGGTGGCTCAGTTGTTAGCACTGCTGCCTCACAGCACCAGGGACCAGGGTTCCATTCCACCCTCGGGCGACTGTGTGGAGTTTGCACATTCTCCCCGTGTCCGTGTGGGTTTCCTCCCACAGTCCAAAGATGTGCAGGCTAGGTGGACTGGCCATGCTAAATTGCCCATAATGTTCAGGGATGGGTAGATTAAGAGGATGGGTCTGGGTCTGATGCTCTGAGGGTCGGTGTGGACTTGTTGGGTGAAGGGCCTGTTTCCACACTGTAGGGATTCTCTATAAGCACCAGGTTATGACTAGATAGATTGAGAATAGTACCAACTGAGAGGAATCCTACCATCTAGATAATGGAGGAGAAGTGCTAGAGGAAGATGAGGAGGTTGGTCCTATCAAAGGTTGCAGGCAAATTAAGTAGTATGACAAGGGATGTTTTCTATGATCATAGTCACACTGGATTCCAATTGTGATATTGATTCAGACAGTACCTCTACAGAGAAGTAAAGTTCAATTGGGCTAAGTCAAGCTTGGCATTACAAGAAAAAAAGTACAGAAATTCGGGAAATGACAAGATCTCGAGAAGAAAGGAAGTTTGGATATGGGGCAGCAGTTTGCAAGGTCCAAGCTAGATTATAAAATTTTAGCTCTACTCACCGCTGAGAACAATGATGTCAAACACCCCATTACCAATCAATTGGTCCCAGTAGGTAACAGATGCTCGAAAACAACCTTTTTTCCACAATGTCAAGTTCAGAAGCACTAGGCACATTGTCTTATTCGAGGAAATGGTTTTATGAAACAAAACATCTGACATTTCATTTTCAGGGCCACCAAGCTGAAATTCAAGCGAATGATAGAGTAATCAGCTACAGACTGAAAAGGCAAGTTGTGCTATTTAAAAGGTTGTTTTCACAATATTAGCATAAGTATTTAAAAATTCACAGACTTAGGTGGCACATTGTACACAGCATAATGTATTGGATACAATTACACCCATGACCTGCTACATTGCTGACATAATTGATTTCAGCTGCTTTGCTATGGGCAATGCAGATTGGGAGCCAGACTCTTCCTAAAGGGAGAGAAGATAAATGGAAGGAGAATCACTGTGCTCATGTTGCACATCTCATGTTTATTGTACAACAAAACCAGAGCAATTCCCCACGTATTCTCTCCCTTTTAATTGTGTACAGTGACTGGAACAGCATGGGTGCAATTCAACTGGCTGAGAAAGGGAGAAAATAGCTTATAAATAAATTCATCATTTTGAAACTCATAAAATGACCCACTAATGACATGAATAAATTCTTACACTTAAAGACTTTACTATTTCAAGTTAGAAGGACCTTCACATTTTCTTTCCTTATTTTTACTTTCCTTGAACCTTGCACTCCTGGAGCAAGGAGTTTTTTGATTCAAGCCTTCTGCTGAAAAAGAATGCAAAAGCAGCTTAAGGTCTAATGCAGTTTTAATATGATCTCCTTTTATGCCAAGGACCTAATCTCCAAAGACCTCAATTTTCAACAGTTAGCTTGAATCTGTGTCCTATAACCTTTATGCAGGACAATGGCAGTACAATGTGCCAGCCTGTCACCTGGAAGTTTGCAATTTCTTAAACATGTAACATTCTGCACTTTCAATACAGGAATTGAGAAGCATCACCTGTCAGTATGCACATATGGGGATATCACTAGTTCAGACATCTTATCCAATATTTTGAAATAAACACAGTAAACATAGACAAAAGTTCTGAAGAGTCATATCAGACTCAAAACATTAACTCTCTCTTCACAGATGCTGCCAGACCATTACAGTTTCTCTAAAGTTCTATGTTTACAATTTCCAGCATTTTGTACTCACTGAATATTTTGCCTCAATCAATTTTTGAAACATGGCTGCTCTGCTAATTAAAGCAGTAATGTTGTGCTGTTTCTAAAGATGCGTTTTAAAAGTTAGAAACTTGCCAGCACATATGTTATTTAAACTGCAGAAACCAAATATCTCTTTGGGTTAGATTCAATGAAACATTCCAACACTCTAAACTTAAATTTACTTTGCTATGGTGCTGTAATTTATCCAATCTTCCACTCTTTTTCAAGGACACAGATTTTTTTAAAAAATGAAAACCCTTATAAGGCTATCTGGTGAAATATGGTGCCTTTGGGGCAGAAGCTCGAGGTTTGCGCATTGGACTCAATGGCCAAGATGGCACATTTGTAACACAGCCAAACAGGTCAAGTAACAACCTGCAAATCTTTTCCATCATACACCAGAGGCAGGGAGTAAGAATGGGAGGGATTCCTAGTCAATTGTGTAATGGAAGGAAGGTTGGAGCCTCTTCCATCACCACCTAGAGCTCCAACCTACAATACTGCAACATACATGTAAAAAACCATGTCGCTACAGCAGCTCTGACCGAGTGAAACGTATCATATCACTATCACATTGTAGATTCTCTTGAGATGTACAGGACAGCAAAAGTGAGAGCAGTAAAAATGGAAAAATAACTTATTTTCAAGAACAACACGTCTGGAAAGTCTACATTCAGGACACCAGAAAACAGCACAGCATTAAAAAAAAATTAGGAACTTCTTTTGCAATGTTTTCTCTCAATACTGAAGTAGAATATATTCTCAGATTACTTTTGGAGCGAGAATAACGCTGAGGCAGTTCTCCAAAGCTTGGAGGACAATGCAGGGTTTAACCAACATCAGACATTTCAGAGAACAGTAAAATCAGTCTGAACTTTAATGTAGGATCTTTTACAAATTTTGGAGATACACTTACAGGCAACTCATCACTCACCTCTTTGATTTGGACTTTGTAATCATCCTGCCCAATGACAGACAATGCATTACTTGTTGGGTTATCATATTCATCGCGCGGGGCAATCTGCAATGTGTGCTGCTGTCCACTAGTCAGTACCAGGGTGGAGAAGTGGTAGAGAATTTTTGTTTTTGCTGGAAATACAGATCCTATAAATGGAAGGGGAGGTGGAGGGAATACATTTTAGCCATTTCAGGATTGGGTACAGAGGTGTGCAATTTATTGCCTATTTAGATGCGAGAATTAACATTGTTTTCCAGCATCAAAATTATCAGTGGACAAAATTTGGCATGAGCCAAATGCAGAAAAAAAAACCTCCAATATTTATAATTTAGGATAAGTTCATTATATACAGGATACCACATGGGCCCTATGATTTTACAAATGCATAAAATAAATTTAGATATTTAACTCCTTATCATGCAAACAATGAAGTCCAATATCATTGCCCGATTATGTTGTGATGATTGTGTTTACAAGCTCAGAACAACAACAATTTCCATTTATGTGCACCAAGCAAGCACTAAGGAGCATCATAAAACATTAAAAACATTGCCATATGTGCACCTTAAAAGTGCCAGACAATGACCATTCCTAGTGAGAGTGAATCCAGCCATCCCCTGAAACTTAACAGTATTTACATCGTCCAAAGTGCTACATCAACATCATGGGGGTTTTCATTGATCTGACAAATAACTGGACCTACAAGAACTGGTCAGAGGCTGTGAAATCTGTGTTGAAGAGCTTACCTTCTGACTCCCAAAGACCATGTGCCATCAACAAGGTTCAAGTCAGGAGTGTAACAGAATACTCTCCACTTGCCTTTATTAATGTAGTTCCAACAACACTCAAAATGGTCAACACCATCCAAGAAAATGCAGCCCATTTGATCAGCATCTCACCCATTACCTTAAATATTCACTCTGATCATTAACATTGTCAGCAGTGTGTACCATCTGCAAATTGCAATGCAGCAACTTGTCAAAGTTTGTTCCAAGCCAAAGATCTTCATTAACTTTAAAGGGATGAGGACAGCAGTTGCATGACAGCATCAGCATCAGCATCAACAAGCTCCTTTTCACTCTCTATCCTGACTTGAAAAAATATTGTCATACCTGTACCGTCACTGGGTCAGAACTGTCGAACCCCCTCCACAACAGCACGTGGGTGTAGCCACATTCAGTTCAGTTGGCTGGATAGCTGGTTTGCAATGCAGAGTGAAGTCACAGACTCATAGTCATAAAGCACGGAAACAGACCCTTCGGTCCAACCAGTCCATGCCGAACACAATCCCAAACTAAACGAGTTCCATCTGCCTCTCCTGGCCCATATCCCTCCAAACCTTTCCTATTCAGGTTCAATTACTGTACTGGCTGAAGTAACCCCGGAGTTAAACATTAACAGTGTTTTCTCTCTCGTAACACCTGCTGCCTAAGGCCTTCTGGGACAATGGCAACTTTCACTTCACTGTAACTACAGCACATGGACTGTAACAGTTCAAGAAGGCAACTCATCATCACCTTCTCAAGGGCAATGAAGGACAGTAATAAACCGTTGCCTCGTCAGGGATGCTCACATAGGTGAACATATATTAAATACAGTATGTGTATTTTTGCAAATGAAGTTAAGGTATATTCAGGTTTAACTTCTTGTATTTCCATAACAATCTGATGATCCTCAAGATCGTCTATCAGTTACTCGTTTTTAAGCGAAAATACCCAGTTTCTTTACAACCTTGCTCATAACTCAAATTCTTGGCACGAAGAATTCACAAGAACACCATACAAATTAATCAAACAAATACTCCAGCTCATTGTCTATTTGCAGTCTTGATGATTCCTGCTCGACATTGTTGGATATGTTGAGCTTTGGATCTACTAATGCCCCTGGGTCTTTTATAGCGTCATTCTTAACAATTTCAATGTAATTTACTCGATGCGTGTATCATCTGTTTTTCCTTTTTCTTTGCAGTACTAAATGTGCTTTCAATTATTGCCAAATCATTGACCTTGTTTACAGTCTAAGGATTGGATTACAATTGTTCAGTATCATTTCAATTTGAATCCACACATGCAGCAAAGAAAGCAGATTTCTATCTCAGGGTATTTTCAGACTTAAATTCTAAAAGGCAGTAAGGTCAAGGACTCACCAGCAACACCCTCCACACCACTTTCTGGAATGTAGTCCAGACAGCAAGGTACAAGGGGCTGCATTTAAGTACCATTGGTGGCCAATTATTTATTTATTTATGGAAGCCTTAATGCAACATGCTTTGTTATCAATGAGGACAAACATATAGACCAAGAAAAAAATAGATAGGTAATCTCATCCCCTGTAAAAACATACACACAGTCACACCTACCAGGTTGAAAAGTTTTATAGTATGGGCTGTAAGCCACATTCGATCCTCCGACTTTGACAGAGATTTCGTACCTTCCTGCCTTTCTCACTGTGAAGCCCACCTTCACCACATTGCTCTTCTGTGCATGGAGTACTTCCTGCGTGACGGGAACATCCAACCCAAGCTCCACATGTGAAATGTGAATCCGTAATCCTACAGGACGTTGTGCGGGAAATGGTCGCCCATTCTTGTAGAACAACTACACAACAATATAGGAAGATTTACTTTCTGAAAAATGTCTTGCATTAATACCCTTCCTTGTTTAACATCTAGTATAATGTTTACAAAACAGAAGAAGGTTATTCAGTTCATTACACCCATTTCAGCTTCCTGCAAGAGCAACTCAGCAAGTCCCATTCCTTCTATTGTTCCTGTAGCCCTGTAAGTTATGTCTCATCAGGTAATTACCCAAAATCCTTTTGAAAACAACAACCAAATTCATTTCCACCATTTAGGGAAGCACTTAGATCCTCAACACTCGCTAAATAAAAGAAGTTTTTCCACATTTCACCTCTGGGGTCTTTGATTATCAGTTTAAATTTATATCTGTTGGTTCTCAACTTTTTCCTTATATAGCAGCATTTTATCTTTGCATATTACATCCAAATCACTTTTTTTAAAAAAGGCCTCAATCAAACATTCTCAATGTTCTCTTCTCAAAAGAGAATAGTCCCAAATTATCCAAACTAGTCTAGAACTAAAGTTCCTCATCTCTGCAACCATTCTCTTTTTTCTCTGCAGCCTCTTCAACGTCTTCATTTTATCTCCCAAAGTACAGTATCCAGAATTGAACACCATATTCCAGTGAGGCAAAATCACTGATTTACAATGGCACACCATAACTTCCACGTTTTTTTTTAAATTTATGCCTTCTTTGTACTTCTTGGCATTAAATTTTATCTTCTACACTTCCACCCATTCCAGCCAGTCCACATCCTCTTGAAGTCCATCATTACCCTGCTCACAGTTCACCATTATTCCATATTTTGTATCATCTGTAAACTTTAAAATTGCACCCTGCGCAGCACAAGTTTATATCATTAACATGATTCAAGAACAACAGTGGACTGACTGCTGGAAAACCCACTGCAAACCGGATGAGGAGGTGCAAGCACTCAGTTGGTTCAGAGTCTCCATGATGAGAAGGGTGTCAGATTTAGAAATATGAGTGCCTTTAAGGAACAACTTTACAGTTGATCGAGAAGAAGAAGTGCTCATTTGACTTTTGAATTCAACAGCAGTGCTCTTACCATAGGTGATTGGAAAAAAAAAAGTTCAGAGCGCTTATGAATGAAAAAAAGAAAAGGAAAGGGAAGAATAGAAGGAAAAAAATAGAAAATAAAGGAAGAGCAAGGTTCTTTTCAGAGTTCTTGTGGTACAATGGCAGTGTCTGAGCCATGAGACTTAGGTTTAGGTCCCGTTTACTCCAGAAGTGTATAAGAACATCCCTGAACAGGTTGATTAGAAAATCTAGAATTCAAACTGTGACTTTCAATTCAGGAGGGAAGATTGTTGGCAGCATTCTATGCTGATCACAAACTGCCAGTGGTTGGTATAGCAACATACAACATTGTTTATTCTTAGTACCCTCTCAAACACTCGCTTAACAAGAATCTATGTACCTTTGCCTTAAAAGCATTCAAAGATCAGAGTTCTTCTCAGGGTTCTTGTGGTGCAGTGGTAGTGAACCCACCACTGAGCCAAGAGACCTGGGTTCAAGACCCAGCAGAGTCCTTAGAGCTCTTGGGACATGGAGGTAGTGTCCCTACCTCTGGACTAAAAAATCCGGGTTCAAGTCCCACTGGTTGCAGGGATGTGTTACAACATGTCTAAACAGGTTGATTTTAAAAATATATACCTTTGGTGATCTGCATTGCCCAATTAATCAATTGGAAAAAATGGGTGATTTACTAGCAATATTAATATACAAAAAATAACAGGTGACTTGGTGGTGGGAACAAAGTCGTTTGGTCATGCGAGATAACATTTCGGGATACTAAAAAAATGAGCAGAGATCTTTAAGGGGCTCTTGTACAACAGTGGTACCATACCTACCTCTAAGCCAGGAAGCCTGCGCTCAAATCTCATTCCAGAGGTGTCTCATAGCACCTTTGAACAGGTTGATTAGAAACAGGTTGATTTAAATGAAAGCATTTAATTGCCAAGACAAGAAAGGAGTAACGTTGAGAGTATTTAGTTTCATCCCTCAATCTCACCACATACTGTGCTTCCTCCATGGTCTCAATGGTTGTGAACAACTCTGTCACTGTCCCCCTGAAAACCGGGAACTCTCTGGTCTATCACTGTCGCTTCACTCTTTTGTTTGGAAGGATCCATCCTTTCCTTGGTGCCTTCTCATGTTAGCACAGTTGAGTTTACAATTCTGTCTTGAGAAATCCCAGCGACAATTCAATTTGGTGTCAGCAACGGCTCAGTTGGTAGAACTTCACTTCTGAGTCAAAAGGTTCAAGCTTCATTCCACAACTTCAGCTCAAAATTTAAGGTTTACACTCCAGACCAGTAACAAGATAATATTGCAATGGTGCAGGTGCTACACCACAGAGGAGATGTTAAACAGAGGGACCATCTGTCTGCTTCAGGTGAATATCAAACATCAAACAGCAAACAGCAATATTTCAAAGAAAAGTAGAGGGGGTTGTGCCCGTTGTCCTTGTCAATAGTTATCAATCAAATCAACACATTGAAATTGGTGCTGTGTTTCATTTAACAGTGACTACACTTCAAAAAAGTATTTTATTTTAACCCAATGATCATGAAGCACACTCAACAGTTGCAAATCCTGTTAAATCCTATAAGCGATTCACATATTGTAGCTCATAGTAAACTTCATTATTCTAAACAACTCAATGGTTTCTCAAATGGCCCAAAAACTACACAACTCCTTGATTTTGATCAATAGGTCTTGTAACATCTTGCACTAAGCACACTAGCAGTACTGGTATTTGCTAAATATCTAAAATATTGTAATAATGCTAAGAAAATTAAGTAAGTCTTTTCCAAACGATAAAGGTTTCACGGGTTATTAACAATGTGCTGGGTATTACAGTACTGAATCCAGTGCAAGTTAAGAGAACAGAACTCTGTTTTTCTTGCTATGCAACAGCTGGGAAGAACAAACAATTCTGTCAGTGTCCCTGAGAAAGCTGGGAGCAGATTAAAATTTCTGTTCAAACTTTTCTTCAAGTAGAGAAGTCCAACTGAAGTCTATCAATATAACACGTTCCTCAACCCAGAAATAAAAATTGAGTCTCTTTCCTGTATCTTCTCTAATGCCTTCACATCCTTCCTAAAGCTCAGAATTGGATGCAATACTCCAGTTAAGGCCAAGCCAGTATTTTTGAACCCAGCCAGGTTGAAACCAGATTCCACAGAATCCACACCACGTGGAAACAGGCCATTCGGCCCAACTAGTCCATGCTGACCCTCCCAAGAGCATCCCATAAAGACCCTATCCCTGCAACCCCATACCTCCCATGGCTAATCCATCTAGCCTACACATCCCTGGACACTATGGGCAATTTAGCATGGCCAATCCACCTAACCTGCACATCTTTGGAACGTGGGAGCACCCAGAGGAAACCCATGCAGACACAGGGAGAACGTGCAAACTCCACAAGGCAGTCACCTGAGGCTGGAATGGAACTCGGGTCCCTGGAGCTGTGAGCCAGCAATACTGACCACTGAGCTACCATGCCACCCTCAGTATGCTCTTAATTGCAATCTCAACTTCACAGCAGAAACAGGCTGTGCTTGGAAAGCCCCACTTTCTAGGTCCAATACAAAATTCTTCTTGACGGTTTGATAAGCAGAAGATAAACAAATGTTTGCACTTGTTTAATCTGGTTTATTTTGTGTATGTGTCTGTCGGAACTATGTCAGTTACCATGTCAGAGTAAATTCACTGCCGCCAATCTTTCTTTTGTAATTGTCCAAGTTACTGATACCAAGTATGCCCACACAGTCTTTGAAATATCCATTCTTCTCTCCCTTCACGATTAAACACCTAACTGTAGCTCAGGCACAATACTGAGCACTCACCATAGGCAACTGTGGAAAACATGTTTCCTACCACGTCGATGACCGAGTATGATGCTGGAGGCAATGGATGATCCATTTAGAATGGTGCAAATCCCATCCCTTAGTTACTGAAGTATTATTCCCATTTCAGGGAACCACATTTTAGGAAGGATGTCAGTCTTGGGAGAAGATGCGGAGTGACACATTTAAAGAATAAGGACTTCAGTTAGGTGGTGAGACGATAGAGGATGGCATTTTCTCCTTTAAAGTAGACAAAATGAGAGGGAGCGATAAAGAAGTACTCAAAACCATAAAGGGTTTTGATAATACTCTAAGAAAAGTAAAGTTGCTTCCAATGGCAAAAGGGTCAGGACAAAGACATTTACAGTAGTGACAAAAGGGGATAGGGAGAATCTATCTTTCACAGTAGGTATGATGATTTGAATGGCATTATCTGAAAAGGTGGTTGAAACAGATTCAATAGCAAATTTCAAATAGAATTAGATAAACAGTTGAAGTGAACAGAATTTACAAGGCTGAGAAAACAGTAGGGATTGTGCTTAGATAATTTTCAAAGAGCAGTACAAGCATAAATTACTGAATTAATCTCTTTCTGTATTATATCATTTCCTAATTCTAATTGTACAAAATTCTGTATCTTTCATCATTCTCCATACTTTCCAAACTCCACTCGTGACTATGCCAAGTTTATTGCAAGAATCTGGCCCGCACTTTTAAATTGGTCTGCAATCTCGGTCCATCTTCTGCCAACAGCCTCGTTTAATATGGGTTGCCGAGGGACAGCTGCAGTTTTAAGGGAGGTTCGAAATGTTGGACGAGTTGAGTTATTAATTTGAGTCTTCACCGGCTCTTTCAGAAGGACGTAAAGGAACCCATGAAACTACTATAAAGAAGGGCTGGATTGTTATGTTGAACGTCCTGGCTGATATTCATGCCTCAATTACACGTAATTGTTTGGTCATTATCACTTTGCCATCTGTTGGGAGCTTGCTGCTCACAAACTGGTGCCAGATTTCCTACATCACATCAATGGCTACACTTCAAAAGTACTCCATTGACTATGAAGTTCTTTGTAATATCCTTAATTTGTAAAATATGCTTTATAAATGCCAGTCTTTCTTGCTTTCACTCCCAATCCAATTGCTACTCAGTCTGATCCTCTGACTAGCTGTGCCCAGTTCCCTCCATCTGTTTCCAAAGACCTACTAGCACTTTAGCTTCACCCTATCCAGCCCAAAATTCTCAATTTCTCCCCTTTTTGCCTCATGTAAATAATTCAGATATTAGCATCATTGATGTAAAGCACTTAGAGATGTCACAGTCAAAGTGTAACTATTAACTGATCACTTGTGATCACAAATCCCAAAATTATATATTTGGGAGTGACCTGATTGTTCATAACTTGACCGCAAGAAAAATTCAGTGTATTTTGCAGTATCTGATTGTCTCAGATGATTTTTTTCTTAGCACCTTCAGAAGGTTGAAGATTCAAATATCAGTAGACCCATCTGACTAAGTTCCATTTCAGATTCTTCATCGAGATGTTATGGAACTATATTCCTTCATTGTCACTGGGTCAAATCTTGGAATTCCCTACACAAATGGCATTGTGACAGCACTTTTGCCACATGAACAGCTGCAATTTAATACTGCAGCTCAACACCACCTTCTCGGGATTGGTTAAGGAATAAGCAATAAACAGATCTACATTCTGTGAATGAATAACTTCTTTTAAAAATAGACTACATAATCAAAAGATGCACACCAGTGGTTTGTGAGCATTCATTAATGTTACAGATACTTGTCTATAGGTGAGATGTCAAGACCAAAGTCTGGCGGTCCATTGGCTCATATGTGCTTCAAGATGCTCTGTCAGAATAGCAAATTCCTCTTCTAGTGGTCTGACAAAATCACTCCCTCGACCCAACAACACAGATTAACTAGTCGATCATTCCATTGTTGTTGTGGATCTCTGAGCAATGCTGTCATCAGGTTGATATACACGTAACTCTTTGAAACATTTCTAAGAATAGTAATGAAGTGCTATGTAACAAGTTTTTTCTTTCAATTTGATGCGGCTATCAAACGGTGACCCTACTCAGGTACAAATGAAGCAAATTAAAACTAAGATTTCAACAGGTTCAGATTTTGTACAGTCTACATTATATTTAGAGTCTCAAACCCGGATGCATGAATTTGCTTACAAAATCTTATCTCCTTTTGTCACAGTTCTGTCCCACTGTTATGTTAACAAATTATACAAATTTGACATCCACATTAATAATAGAAGCTACTATTTAAACAATCCATCTTGCAAGTGTACCCTTCCACCTTTGTGCCTGCAATGCATCTATTCATTTATTGTCCTTAGAGCAAATCAAATCTAAAGTTACAATAAACTCTACTTCTCTGCTTCCTAAGTTATTTCATTAAGCTTGAATCATGGTTATAGGTAAAATAAGGACAGAATTGAAATCAGAAATATTACTGCATCTGTGCTCTGCTTACTTACTGTACTTTAATCCCCACTTCAGATTAAGAATGTACACTGCATGGAAATCTCCCCTTACAACCTTTCTAAACTTGAGAGATTAAAATATTGTTACTTACATGTACCCTAAAGGTCATGATGTGTCCGACTTCTGGAAAATCCTTCCAATCCCAGGTTACTAAGCATGACCTAGGATCCAGGTAGTTCCCACGCACATAGTCATAAATGGTGCGGTTTCCCCGCCTACCTCTGTTGTCATTTTGAAGAAAGCTGATAACCCGTGCTAATAGCTCGTAGAGAAACTTGGCAGTAAACAGGAATGCTACAATGGAAACTGCGATTCCACCTGCACCCAGATACACAAGTTGTACCTTAGTTTGTTAATTCAAAAATAGTTATGAATGCATAAACATTACAAAAAATAAAAATTTTAGTGATGTAGCTAACAAAGAAAGTAGATACAAAATATTAATAATTGTAAATAAAGAGTGAATTGTGCTTGACATTACAGACTGGTGCTACCAATGAACAATGTGAAGTAACATATTATAACCCTACCATCACAAATCATTCCCAGTGGTTTGGCAAACTTACTAAATTTCTATTGAAGCGAGACTATGTGAGAGAGTGAGTGCGCATAAGGCCTGTGCTTTGATTTTTTTTTAGAAATTTTATCCCTCTCCTTGAAGAGGTCAATCACTGAAATTTACAGGCCTAAGGAAGACAAATATACTCACCAACAACGATAAACATCAGGTCTCTCTTTAGAGTGCAAAGAGTGATGCTAGAGGCAAAAACCACTGCTTCCACTAAAATAAAAGTTCAAATTAATGATTAACATCACCTAAATTGAAGAAAGGTTTGAAGCAGAAATGCAACTTTTTAAAAAATGGTTGAACTTTCACATACCCACAGACCACTTTTCAACTCTACGCCTCTGGACCAAGTTGTGAGCAAGCTTTAGTTTATGTTCCCACTCCACGGGGGGCTCCTTGTAATCTGAAGGATCTTCCTGCCGAACTTGTGGTAGTCACCGTAGATGTAACCCCTGGCTGTGACAGCTACCTGCGACTCGCTGTCAAACTGGACCAGGTCAGGAAGGGTGCTGCAGCCCAATGATTGTAGCCTGTTTGGAAGCATAGAATCAGAAAGCTGATATTATCACTTAAGTCAATCACCTACTGTTTTAGCTCTGGAAGAAAGCAATTCAAAAGCATCTTGTGAGAACAAAGAGGATAAATATATGCACCCCATTGTTTTAAAAATGAATACATTTATTAGAACGCTGAGGAATCAATAGGTTCGGTAGATGGTACATGCTATATATTAGCACTTTCAGAAGCTATTGGCAATGATCCAGATTTTAACTAAGGAAGGGGATCAATAACCCAAATGTAGCGAGGACTAATACATAAAAACCAGCAAAGGAGAACCAGAAGGTAAAGTCAGAATCATTAGCTAAACTAACTTTAAGAATATCTTCTCTAGCTTTAAACCATTGATAAACAACACAGAAAAGTAGATGGAGCTCTGCTAATAAAACGGCAAATGGGACAAATTCAGTTTCATTGAAGAGCACATATGAAATTGGAGCAAGAAAAATGGTGAAAAGCAGGAATAAACAGAAATAAGTATAAAATAGACTCGGTGAAGAGAACAGACAAGTCCACTATGGTGATTTAAAAAATTAAGAGTATTACTTCAGACCTGCATTAATGTCAGGGATACTGGTAATGTGAGGTATATTTGCTAGTGCTCGCAACAGGTAGTGGACCAGGTACGAAGTAGGAAACAGCAGGTTGCCAGTTGGGGTGAAAACATTTAACTGGAAGAGTTTGTGTGGGTTGGGCAAAAACTGACTTTGGCTTTTTTATATAAACGGGTACATAAAGTACATTGTCTATCCAAAAATCTCTTAGATCCAGATTGTGCAATTTAATTTCTTAACATTTCTAAGGCTGTGTTATTAAATATTGATGTACCCTTTGCTTCTATAATTCTTCTTTTTATTGTTTAAGATGACTTGTTACCTAATCATATTTTTAATATTTTCTTCCTGCACTTGTTCATCTACTTGATTGCTTCCCCCTTTTCTCTCATTCCCTAAATGTTTAAAATGCATATTCATGTTTAAGATGTCAGCTCTGAAGATGAAAATAACCCAAGTTAATATATCTACGCTCCACAGATGCTGTATAATCTGCGCAATTTCAGCAGTTTCTGCTTTTGTTTGAGATTTTCAATATTTGCAATTTTTAGTTTTTTGTGAAAAATATATCTGTTCAAAACAGGATGTGACTGATGGCCCTTCTCTTTTTCTTTACTTTACTTTTAATTTAGCACCATTACAACAGGCTGCAAGACCCGCTTTTGAGCCAAATGATTTTGCAACACAACGCCTTGATCTCTATCAAAATTCAAATACGAATAACACCAACTTCCAATATCTCTTAAGACTACCAAAGTGAACAAAAGTTATCTTGATCAATAAATTAACTGTTTTGCAACTTGTATTTTGCATCTCTCTGTCTCTCTAACATAAGGGATAAGAGGATAGAACACAGCTGAGGTAGAACATCAGCCATGATCCAACTAAATAGCATCGCAAGCTCAAGAAGAACACAGCTGACTTCTGTTCTATTCATTATATCCTAACAATCTTATTTCTCTGCCCACTGAGACTCTGTTCAAGATCCACTTCAACTTTTGCACATTAATATTCATCACTTTTCACTTCAGCATCAACTAAACAATTTGGAAAAATTCTCTGATTTCCTACTTATTATCTTCTTTCAGATAGCCATTGTCCAAAGCACATTAATGGATTTAGCATAAATTCAACTCCAACAGGTTGGAGTAAAATGCTCTCAGCGTTTTTAAATGCCAGTTTATATCTGTTCATTCAGATGGCACATGAGCACTCACGTAAATACCAGTGACTTTTGATGTTTTAATTTTTACAAACAGTGGCATGAATTGAGAAAGAATTGTTTTAAAACCAGGGATTTACAAAGATAGCTGCATGTTTTGAAAGTAAAGAGCTTGATATCTACTGTATTCTTCACCTGTAATAAATAATAATTGTTAAGTACAGAAACCTGGCTTGTACTTTCTATCAACCTGGATCTGAAAATCAGGTATTTCGAGATTTTATGGATGTCCTCTAAAAATTTTAATTATTGTAGCAATGCTGCGAATGGAAGACTCAAATCTTCAACTGTCTCTTTTCTAATCTGGAATAATTCATCTATAAGACTACACAAAAGCTCGAGGATCACGGGATGAAAATTTTATTTTTATTCGAGAATGAACCACAGCACAAACACAGATTCAAGCATGCTGTGGGACACTACAATCAAACCTAAACTGTACAACATTAAAGTGAGAACCTGGCCTGTGAACAATGGAAATTGACAACTAAACTTCACAGTTTTGATGAATGTTAACCATAGATCACCATTGATGTTGTAGACTTTCTCGCTGTGCCAGTGGGTTTGGTTGCAAACATTTTGTCACCCTGCCAGGTAACACCATCAGTGCGCCTCTGGTGAAGCGTCGGTGTTCTGTCCCGCGTGTTACTTATATGCATCCAAATATAAATAACACGCGGGACAGAACACAGACACTTCACCAGAGGCGCACTGATGATGTTACCTAGCAGGGTGACGAAATGTTTGCAACCAAACACACCAGCTCAGCGGGCAAGTCTACAACCTCATCCACAACCCGAGCTACAAATCTTCTTGAAAACTTTACAGATCATCATCTTTAAAGCTGAGCCTGTAGGAAAGTTTAAATAAAATGACAACTGAACTATCATAACTTCCACCTTGACTGCATCGTCGTATTGGACATACCGCATACAATGGGCTCTAGGCCAAAGTTAACGTCTGTAAATTAAAAACAATTCACTGACATCCAACTTCTGCGTCCTATGCACATAGTTCAGAATCCAGTAAAGCGCTGTTTAGACCAACAATTTATTTAAAATTAGAGGAGGAATATTTGATGTTGGTTAGTTGCAGAGTAGGAGATGGTGATCTAGTCGCAGTGTCCCTGGCCGAGTAAAGCAGAGGCTCACGCTATTGCTTTGAGGAATAAAAACAAAATTCTACAGAAACTCAGCAGGTCTGGCAGCATTCTTATAGAGAGATACAGTGTTAACACTTTGAAATGCTAACTCGGTTTCTCTCTCCACAGATGCCTTCAACCATGTCTAGTTTCTTCAGCATTTATTCTTTACTTCAAAATACCTACAGTATTTTGCTTTTATTTTAATACTTTGAGGACAAGGGTTAAAATCCCACCATGGCAGCCAGTAGAAGTTAAATTTAATTTATAAAATCTTGAATTGAAAGCTACCCTCAGTTTCATGGTCGGCATTACTATAACTGATTGTTGTAAAAATTCAATTAGGTCGTTGGTGTTCCAAAAGAAGGAAATCTGACATCCATACCTGATCTGACTCCAGAGTCACAGAAATGTGATTTACTCTTAATTGCCCTCTTAAATAGCTTGAGCAAATCACTCAGTTCAAGGGAAATTTTTGCGATTACTAATAGAGATTAGCCTTGCCAGCAATGCCCATATTCCATATCAGGTATAACACCGATTGCATGTGTTCCTTCAACTCTAACGTACTTAAATGCCCACATCAGAAAAATACATCCAAATGCAATAATATGACATCTATTTTCCAACTTTACCTTCTCTTAGATTCACATGATTAAAATTTCTATATTGTTACTAATTGTACTAAAACTTTAGCTTTTTACGGTGGCCCAAAATAAGTTTGTTTTTCCAAAGAAAAGTTAAAAGCAGAAACAGCCCAACTGAAAATCATGGGTTTGAGACTTTGAATCTACAGAAGTTGAAAAATAAGTAATGGCTGGATTGGTGAATGCTTGATACAGCATGGTTTGAACCCAGGTAAGTTGAATGGTCTATTCCAAAGCATGCCTAATACTCACAATATCTGCCTACCATGATCATGAGGAGTTTACTGGGATCTCTGCCAGACTGTTAGTTGAAGTACCTCACAAACGAGCCACTTTTCGACTCTGTGAGATGGAAAGAAATAACATGACCATTATTGCCAAGCTTTGCATGCACCTCCAATTGGCTGGCAGAGGGTTATATGCTTGATATATGATAGGCTTGTGGAGACGCCCTAATTCTCGGACACTATGGCCCGTCCCAGCTAACGTAGGCAGCATACATACAACAGAGGACAAAAATTTAAGATTTTATTTTCTTTGCAAACATACGCATGGACGTAGTGCTCTAGACCGAGTGAAGAGCCACTCCTGCTGTGCTAGCTCCTTCACCAGTTGGCGTCAGACTGCTTCTATCTTCTGAATCACACTGTCATCCAAGGACTCTCCCTTCAGGTGGGACAAGGTACTCAGAACTGCTAGTTCCTCTAAATTCGGCACATCTGCAAATAAAACACACAGAATAAGCAGACTTCATCTGATAGCTCTTGGGCTGACAAAATTGCCAACATTACAGAGATTCCAGCAGGGAAGTAAAATTTGTTTTGCCCAAAACAAAAACCATGGTGTATTTATATGATGCTTTTCATGGCGGCCAGATGTTTCAAAGCACTTTAAAGCCAATGCAGCACTTTCGAAGTACATTACAAGGTTACAATACATGACCTTTAATTCTAGTTTTATTTTAACTTATTTTTCTAATCAACCTGTTCAGAGATGTTAAATAAGAAAGAACTGCGAATGCTGTAAATCAGGCAACAAAACAGAAATTGCTGGAAAACTCAGCAGGTCTGGCAGCAT